CACTTTGAGAAAGCAACTATTTCAATGGCTGTCACATTGTTTTTTTAAAAAAGTATTTTATTCATAAGGTACAAATTGGGTACATAAAAATCGCACACAATAGCCTTGAGAGAGAACAAAACGAAGTGTACACATTTTAGTCAAGAGTCATATACAGTACCAATTACCATTCTTAAACATTATCTGGTCCTGTGCTGCAAAATATATTTTTATCTGTACACCTCATCTTTAATTCATTGTGCATAGTATGATTATTAAATATCACTGAGGTTTGCACATCCCATTTTCATTTTCAAAGTGTTCAAAGGAGTTAGCAGTTGTCACGATCATTGTATCAGCACATGTGGGGGAGTAGGGGGCAAGACCGCAAACTTTTTCCAAAATGTGTGCTCTTCAGAGCCATTTGCCACGGTGTCCTCGAGCTGCTGTGCAACAGCAATGCCTATGACCTCAAGGGCACCTGTGAACCTGTGGTGTTGTCAGCGATTACTACAGTACAGTACAACCCTCCTCGAATCAATGCTCACTGTCTTGTAGTCATTGCAGGACTCAGAGGGTGAAATGTTGTGCTTGTTTGGCACACAGATGTCATGGTCTCAGAGGGGTTGGAGCCTCTGCCTCCTGCCTCAGCAAGTTCTGGCTTGCTCTGACCACCTCCAGGATAAGCAACTCTCTCACAATGGATGGCTGGGTTGCACACGTGCATGCTTTAGAAGAAAAAGGAGGGTACTGGTACTGGTGGAAAAACTGAAAGGGGTGTACAACAAATCAAATAACAGCTGGCACTTCCACATTTAAAAAAAGGAAAGTACTATCCTTCTGCAAATTAAACTGGCAAATCTGCACTGTGAAACGTTTTATTATGGACAATACACAAACCGTCTTGTTAGTTTCTAAAAAACGATTCTTAACAGTCTTAAACAGACGTTCAGGAGGAGGTCAGATTCTACTGTCATCCACTTTCACTCTCATATATATATAAAAATATTTTGCCTCCTGAGTCCCCCTTTTGCATTTTGTTTTTGCAACCCTCCCTTCACCCCAACTTAACCCTTGTAGCAGCTCCCAAGCTCATTCCTTCAGAATAGTGGGGGTCCTGTCTGCCTTGTCCTTACAATCACCTCTCTGTTTCCTCAGCCAGGGGAGCTATACTAAATTAATTAGGAATTGATCAAACTACAGGCAAATTACAAAAGTTAGAAAATCAAGTTGTCTGTAAGGTTAGTTATTTATGACACATCAGTGCAGTTTCCAAGGAAAGCCTTGAATAATTATATGCCCTAGAATATTTCTCACAACCATCTGCTCCTCAAAACCAAAGTGCACCAAGGTTTAAGACATTATTATGATTTTATACAAGTATATTGAAACAGCCCCCATGGAAATTAATTAAAAATGCTTCATTATTAGAAACATTTTTATTACTGAGCAGGCAAAGCCATTATGCAAACATTATTAAATGTTAACCATTATTCTGGTTCAAAAAGCAGTACAACACTATTCAAACAATGCTTAATTTCATTGCTTTGACCCTCCATTAATGATAAAACAGCCTTTTAAAAAGTGTGACTTAAAAACTGCATTAATTAAAGACTACTTTCTAAATAGGAGTCCAAAATATGATATAAAATTAATACTGAAAAACAAACAATGAAGTTTGTTTCAAAATCTGACAGAAATAAATTGGTTTTTAAGCTCAGATATATACTGTAGTATATATTCTTAATTCAGAGATTTAAAGAGATGCACACACAGCATTATTTATACATTTTATCATTGTGGTTAAATTGGTTAAAGTTTCAATTAAGCTTAGTTCTAAAATATGTATTAGAAAGATCACCCTTCCAGGCTAGTCTGCGTTAATCACAATCATTCACAAAGAAATTAATTGCTTTTCTTCTGCGTACTTCGTTCTGAAATGTTTTATTGTGCATATCATCTTATGAAGATATGCAACTCTTACAGCTGTGAGGCAGCAGCGTTGTGCCCACATGTCTTAATGAAATCTATTTTAATTAAATGACAAATGCTGACACTTGGGGACACATTTCTCCATGTCTGCTAATATAACATTTTTTGTAAAAAACACTCACCTGCATAAAACATAACAAGAGTCTTTAGTGAGCATCTCCTGAGCCCATCCTTTCAGCTCACATTTTCAACAAAGGAAGCCAGAACATAGAAAAAAAGAATGTACTGTATGTTATTACAGGATCAAACATTTGGAACAAATATCGTATCTTACTGAAATGTGGAGAAAAGCAAATGGAATAATTCCACTGTAAAGTAAAGGGGGTGTGAAACAGGTATTTGAAATGTTTTCAGTATTTTAATATGTCTCCATGCCTTTATACCTGAAAACCTGAGTATAATTAATGTGACAATTGTATCAATTGAAAAGCTGCCTTTCTATAAGGAGCACTGGAGCTCGTTAAGTGAGCACCAGAGCTCCAGCACTGTAGTATGATAATGCAAGTGGGCTTCACTAACTCTGCTAATTAGAGTTCTATTAAGTTTTGTTACTTCCTGGTGTGTATTCCTAGCAGCTGTGCGGGAGGAGAGCAGGCCTGAGATGGAGCCTGTTCTCACATATGCGTTGCATATTGATTCTTGTACTCATCAGCTTGATTGCAGATGATGAATGAATCATTTTTCGGTTTCCTTCAGCTTAACACCAGCCAAACAAACATGCACAGAAAGGAAACATTATTCGATACAAGTTGTTCCTGAGATATTTTTCAGGCTTCTCCAACCTACAAAGAAAGTTTTAGATATGCTCAGTGCCCCTGAGGTCTGGATTATAGCAAATTGTTCCATTTTTTATCCATTACATATGCTGCAGGTGCCTCTGAGACTTTAAACAAAGATAAAAAAACAAGTCATGCACCGAGTGTCAGTACTAATGGATTAATTGTAATGTAGAGGTTTCAGCAGTACAGGGAATTTTGTAATGTATGGGCTTGCATGCAGCCTGTATCAGACCAGTCACCATTGCCTCTAGAGACCAAATTCTAAAAAAAGCGCGTGACTGTAGGAGGATTAATGAAAGAAAAGAAAGCACTTCACAGCCTAGCAAATAAATCCCCATCTTGTTTTACTGTTGTTGTTTAATACGTGGGTTTTCATTCAGTAAAATCTGGAATTAGGAAGGTAGTAAGGTCTGTGAACATGCCTAAAGCCTAAGCACCAATTATCAAAGGCAATCCCTCATTAAAAACATTAATAATCCACCAACAAAATTAAGTACAAAAAATACAACAATCTTAAAAAAACTAGCTTGTTAAAAACCTTATTGAATGTTTTGCCCTTGATGAGGAGGGGTAGCACAGAGGCATGGTGGTGAGTCAAGTTGTTCCACACCTCCAGGGTGCTGTGTTTAATTGTGACTTTGAGTAACCTACCTGTTTTCATCAGGCACACCTCCCAAAGGCATGTAGGTTACACTCGACATAGTGTTAAAAATGGATGTACAGTAGCAGTTATGGTGAAACCTTTTAAAACGGTTTTATGTTTTAAAAATGTTCAGATAATTTAGGACACTGAAATTATTGGAATATTTTCCTAATTAATTTTTAATTAATTCTTGTTTATGGCTAAAACAGCCATATTTGATCAGGAGCTTGGGAAAGTTGGCACTGGAAAGCCTATTTTTAATTTACAGTAGTCATGGTGAAGTTAAATATGATGTTCTGAGAACTAGACAGGATAGCTTCAGTCAGCATATTGTGTACGATGGCTGCACAAGTTTAAAATGATAGACCTTTAATGTGTTGCCAGATTTCATTAGTTCTCAAAGATTATGTAGCTGATACAGATTTAGTTCTGACTCAAGTTTTTTGCCAATGGAATGTAGATTTGTGTCTGATGTACTGGGATAATCGCCAAAACCTGTGTCAGGAAGTTGCACCTTGATTTGAAATCTTTAGTGTAGCGTGGTAGTGTGCCCAAGTTCTGCTACTTTACAGCATTTGTGTCCTGGGTTCAATTCTGGTGTTCCGTATGCGGTTTGCTTGTCCTCCCTAAGTCTGCCTGAGATTGGTCCAAGTACTCTGGTTTCTTCCCTTCTCCCAAAGACAGTTGAGTAGGTGAATTGGTGCATCTACATTGGGCTTGAGTGTATCTGTTCCCTGCAGTGGAGGTGTGTTTTGTCAAGGGTATAGGCCTACCTTGATAGGTCTTGAGATGCTGTGTTCCTTATCAGTAAGAAGCAGCTTGATAATAATGAATGGGTAGATAATATATTCATCATAATACCCTACCTGCAGATTAAGACAAACAGAAATAAAAATTGCAGCAAAATAATTTAATAACAAATTGTAGAGAACTAGTACAACTACAAAATAAACTGCTTTTATAATTAATTACTTTAAATATGTTGTGTGCAAAAGCCCTTTTGTTTTAGCATTTGTATTGTTAGAAAATATCCATCATACGACACTCAGTAGAGTTATACAGTATGCTGATGAGTTTATCATTAAAATATGCTGCTTCTGGGAAGAAATCAATGCTGATTGGAATAATTCAGCTATTCATTGGAGGACAGCTGTATGAAACCATGTGCCCAAGGCCCAGCAGCAAATGTCTCAAATTATACTAATTTACATTCATTCACATATACAAGGTGGCTGCAAACAATGCTAGATGTAAATCTGCACTCAGTAAATCCTTGGGAGGTGTTTTGTGGCAGCTGTCCTGGTTCTGGAGCATTCTCCAGAGCCAAAATGGCTGCCAGTGTTCAAAGGATAGTAAACAGGAGATTTACTAATAAGAGATAAATCACACTAGACTATATTATTATGCTTTGAAACACCAGGGCATCACAGTGACTGAAAAGATAAACGTTAAAGTTTGTTTTGGTTATGAAAAACATATGATTCAGGCAGTCTTCAATCTTTGTACATAAGGTGTTGAGCCTTCATATTCTGATCTGATATACTGAATTTTAGATGCATTCCGCTACACTTTTTGTGGTGTTGGTTCTCACCTTGAGGTCAAGATGCTTCCAACAGCCCTTAGTGACTATCCAGTGGTTCCCAGCGACGACAGGGACATTTTTCATGTCAGAGTCTAATAATACATAAAATACACACTGCTGCATACTGAAAAATACTATATGTATGTTTGAAAAACTGAGAATGAGTCTGCTGACCTTCAGTTCTGCTTTTGACGTTTCATTATTAAAATACGTAAAATTACAATTCTTAATTTGCTTTAGCATTAGATGCAAAGGGTCCTTGTCAGGAGAGATTATTGAAAATTACTGTCACCCAAACAAAAATGATTAGAAATTCCAGAATCAGTCTATATTTAGGAAAAGTATCAGGGCCCAAAGAAGAGCTAAACATTTGTAGTGTCTCTATACTTATCACCTTGTTAAAAGAAAATGTGACTCTAGAATTTGAATCAACCAATTTCCTGGAGCCTGTGGTCAATAGCATTCTTGCCTATTATTCCTGTGCAGCAAAAAAGGTTTGATTGATTATAGTAGAATCATTGGAGAATTTATCAGAGCACTAGAATTAACACCCCTGTTCTTAGTAAGAGTGCCATCAGATCTTTAATGACCAAGCAGTCAAAATCCTGGTTCCATTAATATTCCACCAGGTTTTTTGGAGTAATGACCAGCCTTGCTTAGCATCTGACATTGGATGCAATGCGCAAATGCTCCTGACTGAATATGTAACTTATATTCATGAAACTGTAATGTTTGATTAGCAAGAGTGAAAGACAATCTTGAAACACCCTTAAAAGGATCCATCATTAAAGCAGGTAAAGTACAAATATCATTAGTTTGAAAAGGCAGCACTTTATTTAATATGTGAATCAAAAAAAATATTTACTATCATCAAAGCACAACTAATATGTGCTGAAATAGAAGACGCACATATCTATAATGTATATGTACAACATTTCACAAACTTTGTGTTTTCTCTCTTCTCTTTTCAGCATGGAATAAACCTATTAATTGTTCCTTTGCAGACTACGCATGCTGACGCAGCTACTGTACCCACCTGAACTGATATATATGTATACTCTTAATTCACAATATCTGAAGAAATTAACCACTATTTTTTTTTTCACAATGTGTAAAAGGCTACAGTGGCGTCGCCCCCTTGAAACCTGATTAGTGTGGAATTCTAGCGTAGCAGAGCTCACTGGTGTCTGGGGAATGGTGCTACACTGTACGGCTCTGAAACATGAGGTGCGTGTGAGAGGCTGTGATCAAATCCCAGCAGGAGCTGAGCAGCACATGTTTTAAAAGCATATGATCCGAAAAACCTTTCCTGCTTTAAAATCTTTAAACGACTCTTCCCACTTAAATTCAGGAGCCAAACAGCGATCAGCATCTCCATCACACTAATTTACCTGTTGTCCATTAGTTTGTCAGTTAATTAATAAATGTCAATCAATTGAAGTGTGCATGTAACAGTTTTGTCCTGGCATTTTCAGAAACAACTGGAGATTGGACAGATTTCTTAGCACATGCAATGTGCTAAGAAGTCTAATTTAGTCTAATTTAGTCTTTACTCCACATCATTTGGACTGATGATGCCATGACCATCTGAAAATGTATTTATATTCAGTATTGTATTAGAACAACAGCACTAATGCATTTCCATCAATGGGTGTGAAAAGTTAGCCTTTTGCTTGATTTTGTATAACTTGCCAATTCCTAAGATGTGAATGAGGGTACTTTCAGAACATTTTTATAGCCAGGAAATACAAATAAAGCTTTACATATTATTTTAGCCTTTTCTATTCCAATATTTTTAGTTCTGATCTGTTAACCCAATAACCAATACGGCCTATTTTACTCTCTGGAACAGGCTTTTTGCCCATGTGTGAAAAATAAGATCTATACAGTATTCTATTTTATTCATCTCTACATCTAATTCATTAAAAATACTGTACATTAAATGTTAACTGAAATCTTTTCAAATAAAAAATAAACGTGATTATTCCAGTTTGAGGCCTGTCCAGATTCAAACCTCAATGATGGGCATGACCCCTGGCCCCTAAAAGGTGAGGAGGATGAGAATATGCTTGGTTGGAGCAGAAACCAGGGCTAAAAAAAAACCAGAACTAATTCATTTTGACAGGGAAGGCTAGTTTGCTCATGCCCCTTCATCCTTGCCAAGCCTCAGGGAAACACCCTCGCCAGTATTTAATCCTCAGCCGATGTGACTAGAGTCAAACACAGTCAAAAGACAGAGCTGTGATTCTTGGCAATGACTCTATACTACAACACTGGAACTTTAAAGTTATTACAACAGCGGGATGCTAAATACTGTATGCACATCTGAGACAAACAACAAAACAATACACGACAACAGAAAAACATTGCCACCTGCAGCCCCTTCAGTCATCATTTGCTTACATTAAAGATTAAATACAAATCACCACATGTTGTTGACAGTAGACAACAGTGACACCTTTTCCACTCCAAAGCAAGGAAAAGCAATATTAAGACAGCACACATATCCACTCCGAAGCATTCCAAACAAAGTGAATGGAGCCTAGTGAAACATCCTCTGATCTATCTGACCTTATGCAACAGGTGATATTTTAGAATTCCTGACTAACTAAGAGTGGGTGGGGTCAGTTATTGACCAGGTGAGCAATTTAAAATAAAAAGATATTTTGGAAGATGCAGAGAGATTTGAGAAAGAGGACAGAGGACAAAAGACGAAAGAGGAAAAATTTGCCTCTTTTAGTGAGAAAAGAGAACAAATATTTTCAAAAGCAGATTGAGCACCATGAAGTATGGCAAAGCTAAATGGCATACTGGGATTTACATGAACGGAAAGGCATTATTTGTCTCCTGAAATTAACATATTGCAAATATTGTTTTTATATCAATTATTTTTAAAATGTAATTTGTCCTGCTATCCATTTTATTGTCTTAAAAGAACTAAAATAACTCAAGTGCTGCACCAACTTGCTGTAAAGGTTACAATATTATGAGCACATCCTAAATGTCAAAAAACACATTAAACTCCTCTAGAAAAACGAATATCGTTCCCATTTAGTTTTATATTCAATACATTTGTCAAGTGCTTTCCCCTTTTGAGAAAAAAACAAGTCTATAAGACTCCGAGCCATGGTGTCACAGTCACCCTTCTAAAGGAGTGCTTAGCATCACGTTTGATGTACTTTTTTTCCTGTCTCAAATTGCTGCTTGATTGGGAAATATGTGAAAGGTGAGACCCAGGGAGGCTGAAGTAGACGGGCTAAAAAGAAAGGCCTGCCACTAAGGGGATGCAAGAAGAAAATCGGAGAATGTGGAGAGCAGTTTTGAATATTGCCAGACGGAATCAGCCCTTCAGCAATACAGCAAATTCCCACCGCTGGGACTATGGCTCTGAAAAGAACAGCCTTCCATCTGTTGGCTGAGGATTTTGCTCTTTAAAAAGAGAGAAGAGTGTTGCCAACAGAATAAAAGTGGGGTCCAGGGCCTTGAAGGGAAGGTTTTCAAACTGTCACTGTTGCTGTGGGATCTTCAGAGCCACCAAGGATCAGGAGGAAGTGTCTGTCCCCTCAGGGGGCAGGGTGTAATGAATTAACACACAGACAGACACTGCCACACAGCAGGGTCTTCATTTCCAGGTCAGGTGTTCTACACAGAGATACTGTTCTGCACAGCAACGAATGTGCCTCCCTCTTCATCTCATCTGCACAGGGAGGGGAGGTGAGCACCACAGGAACAGACAGAAGGGCGAGATGAGTGAGCGTTTAGCTGGCGAAGTCACAGCAGCTTGAAGAGACTAGGGCTCAGGATGTACAAACATTAAAGATTTGTTTTACTTATCCCTACCCTGACTTCACTGCACTGAAAATATCCTGCATCTTATAAATGGATCATGTGTGCTGTTAATGGTGCAATCCACAATAATGTGTACATGCGTGATGAGTTTCCTAACTTATTTTGCCATAGTTACTGTATTTGCCAGCAAGCTCACATGGAAGTTTTAAGTCAGTCTTATAATACTACAAAATGTAAATTCTTCTTAAAACAAAAGATTGAATGCTAAACTGAACTGTAGGCTCAAGACCTGGGGGTGGTGTTTCCTCAACGCCACTGGTGTGTCAGACTGGACAGCAGCACATCACCTTGCAAGAAGGGATACCTTAAAGAGTGAAGGCAAGGCCAGAGGCCAAACGACTGGGTGCAACAAATAAGAAAAAATCAAACTATATGGTTTTATGTCTAACTTCTCAGTTAAACTTCAGTGGCCACACAGACATACAGATCATCCTTGGAATCCTTTAAGAGAAGGGCAGCTTTATTCTGACACCACAGATGCATACAGACGATGTTTTATTTAAACAATTTCCAGCTCTGAGTTTTAAATTCTGAGAATAATCACAAAATCAGCAATAATTGCTGAAGCTTATTATTTTTCCCCAGGGTCGATGTAATTTTAATAATCCCACTGAACCACCCTGAGAGTAATAAACTATGACAGTTATTGCCTGGCATTTCTGCATTCCTGTTCTACATGAGAATAATTTGAGAACAATTGGGTTCAATCTAGCTCTCACTCTCCAAGGGCTACATGAACATGAACATGAAATTGTAATTTCCTTTTTTTTACTGTACATTGCAAAGCATTTCTCTCCATTAGTTCAACTAATGCAATGCATATATAAAATCTTATCACTGATCAACACGCATCAGTCATGCTAGAAATACATTTACATTTTACATTTCATTCCCTGTTGAATTATTTAGATTTAGATACAGTATCTACTCAGGATACTACTTAGAAATGTCTATGTTAGAGAATTATTACAGATTCAGCATTGGAACTGTCAAATATGCACTTTGGGGTAAGTTAAAATTAAAATAATTCACTGTTTCTGCAAGAGAAGAAACAAATATCTAACTTTAGAGGCCAATCTTTCTCCTCAAGCTTTCATAAAGATTAAGCACTATTGATCTTGGAAGTTTAAGTCTTTCACCTTTGATAAAATGCTATGTCAAGGAGAGCAAGCTAAAAACTGCACTAAAGTTAAATAACAACAGTATCTATTCAGGGGAAAAGCATGTCCATTTATAAGCACTC